AGGAGGGGCTTTTTCTTACAGCTACGTTTTACATAACAGTCCTCAAGTTAACTAACTTGCACTTTGGCATTACTAACTTACACCAAGATCGGTTTTGTGGAAACTATAGTTCTACAGTTTGTTAATTTAAGGGGGAGATATCAAGTTATTTCGCTCCTCCTTTCCCGGCGGCAGGCCGGCGGCCGCATATCACGCGAGCATAGAGAGCCATCGCGCACCGGCTGCCAATCGTAGGCCTGCATTCAGCAATTGATTGGAATAGCCCGAGCGTGCCCCCTTTGAGGCGGCGGCGAGCGATGGCGGAGCGGGCCCAGGGCGCGCGTGCGGGGCCGCAGGGAGCCATAAAGGGCGAGGGCAGCGCGTGAAGGGCGAAGCCAGCCGAGCCCCTGCCACACAACGCGATGGTCAGGCAGCGGGCATGTCGTGCAATTCTAGACCACACTACAATGGCGGTCGCCATTAATACACTTACGTAGAGTAGTGTTGTTTTTTTTCGTGCTCATGCAAAAACTATATTAACATAAGTTCGTGTTATCTTGACGTACTGGAGTCTTAGAATTCAAAATTGAATACAGAATTATTCGAATACAATATTCAATTTTGTTCACGAATTTTCGCGTGAAAGTGCATTAAAGGCGAATTCTTCTATTTTCACGATTAACGTGACATTCTTGCGAAATCATTAAATATTGCAAAAATTCTCGTGTCCGTGAAGAAATATGGGAAATCGATGAGTTTTAGATGCAGTTATTTAAATACGGAAGTTGATTACTTGACTCCGAACCATTAGTTGTTTTCTGAAAAACTCTACATTGATAATACTATTTCATGTTATAATAAATTTAAAATAATCGCTTCTAGATAAGGGCAGAATTTGATGACCTAAAACATCGCCAAAAACGACCAAGAAAATGCTGTGAAAATGTGTTTAAAACATCCAAATAGTAAAAAATTACTTAAAAAATGTGATTAAAATCAGTTCGCATGGGCAACTCAAGCCGTTGGACGCGTTATGATGTAATCCAAGCTGCTTCTATTCATTCTCGGCTTTCAAACGTTTTGTTTGGAGTTCACCAGAAAATCTGTCTTCAGTTATCCCCAAATCGGCTGAACTAGCAATGGCGCTGACAACAGTCACAGGAATTCCGTTGAGAACATTTGTTGCATCTCGTAAATATTATTATAAGCAAGTGCCATTAAAATTATATTACAATAGATGAAATCATCGAAAAGGGCATTAAAAAATGACGGGAAAAGGTAAAAAAGAACTTTGTCGAAATCGATGAAAAATACACACAAAAAAGTATTAAAAATGGGTCATTTACTTTTTTTAACAGTATAAAATGAATTTCTATACTTAATGCCATTTTTCTAAAGAAAAAAAAAAGACATATCATTAAATTTAGCCCCCTTACTTGTAATTTATTTATATTTTATCTCTCATCTTCAGAGCAAACTGTTTCATCTTCAGAGCAAAATAGTGTTGTTTAAGAGATGTATGCATGGGATGATTTGCGATAAAGTTAGATTTTTTATTTCTTTTTCTTTGGGTGTTCATACAAAAAATGCGCAGTGTTTGCGAATCAAGTAGTAGATACGTTTGTGACTTCCATGTATTTTTGTATTCTGGACTGATGAGATCGACAATGAAAACTTGAATGGCACAGATTTAGTTTCAGACGAAATTTTTATCATTTCAATTTTATGACTAGGGCAAAACAACTTACTCTTACTGTCAAGGTAAATGCCACCAAACGAGTGCGTATGTGCGCCACATACTCGAAATGTGTCACTGACTTTTTTTACCATAATCAATTCACCGAGTTTCTTCCTTTCAATAGCGTCATAAGCCTGTTTTATAATCCTCTTGACATTTATGATTCTGCTTTGCTGATTGGAAATCAGCCTCAGAATTCGTCCTTGGATGGTGAACTTTCTACCTGTATGATGTTTTCTAACATTACTAATTAACAAAGGAGAACATCATTATTTACACTTCTTATTTGAGCTATTAATATCAATATACAGGGACATGATTTGTATCTTTCAGCTTTTATGACGTTGGCAACATTTCCGAAGTAATCTTTATTACCTTGTTACCAGCGTACCATACGTTCATAATAATATATGTCTAGTGTAAACCCAATTAATGTTTTTAGAGCCCATAGTATTGTATTGGCTTTGGATAGTCTTTACACGTAATGTTCTTCCTAAGTTAGACACCCATATCAATTTTTACTCTCCGAAAATCGAATTTCGGAGCGAAATCCCAGGTTTGTGGGTGATTTCACAACGCAAACGTGCACCCACGAGCGAACAACCGAGTCCTTATAGCAAATAACGGCCGCTCGCATGGGCAGCCTGATGACCCAATTTGCCTCGTCCTGCATTTGGTATTAGTACACACTTCCGCCTCTTATCTTCATTGGATGCGAAACCATTTTCATCGTTCCGTTTTCGAGGTCAACCGAGCACGAGCCCCGCAAGAACGCGTCGTTTGTTTGATAATTTGCACTGCAACGAGGCGTGGGTGTTTCTGGTACGTACAATTTGAGACGGGGTAGTAATTTAAATGCTAGTGCCTCAGTGGAATATTATTTTTGCCCACAATTTATTTATTGATTTCTAGAAACTAAAAGGGGGCAAGCTGTAGATTAAAAAGGTCAAGTTCTGTCGCAGCTATTCGGTTATTCGTGCATTCAATAATATACTATCAAAATAAACGCATGAAACTATTCAATCCGAAAAAAAGTTACAAGCAGGCAGTACGCAATACCACATACTACTCGTACCGATTCTATAATGCTGACTGCACACCAAAAATTTCTTGCGACGGTCATAGGCTGCAATAAATCTGCATGCGAACTCGTCTTGTTTGAGACGGTCCAGCAAATCTTGTGCGTGGCGCCGATAACATTCTTTAACAATTACTGTGCCATGCTATTTCTTAATTTTTTTTTTTTAACCTTTGAGGTACACTAAAGCTCCTTTCGTATAGGCAGCGCCATTATACGTCTACTTCGAAACACACTTGAGGGTTAGATTTGGAATATTTTATTCGTATACATTAATGTTAAGAAAAATGGAAGAATAATGAAACTGGATGCACTTCAAAATTGAGGAGGTAGTGGAGGAATTTTCGTGCATCTTCCCCATCGCTAGCGTCTTGCACGCAAACAAGACTTATTAGAGCGTGGAGATTATGTACGATTACGAAATATTTTTGGCGCCGAAATTATTATTATTATTATTATTATTATTATTATTATTATTATTATTATTATTATTATTATTTGACACTGGTCAATTTCGGATATACAACCCCGGCGTAGTGGTAAGATTCAAACTTAATATTGCAGAAGACACCGCTTAGATTACATTACATATTGAAACTAAAAATACTACGTTAAAATATTAACGGCTAGGAATTGAATTTATAAGAGAACTGTAAGTACAATTAAAACAAAATAATGTTAATTTTCATTATAATCTGCATTGTAATAATAACAAGAAGGGAAAGAGACATTCACCCCATTAATAGTGTATGTTATTAGACTTTCTTAGATCACAATGCGGTGGGCTATCATTATTATGCCTCCATTCGTCTTGCCTTCCACGGACCTTTATACATTCACAATCGGCATTCAATGCCCGACGGCGAAAGAAAGCAGTACATAGAAAAGAACGAGAATATTTTGGCACTAGCGCGCTGTAAAATTAATTCAATAATCTTTTGTTCGCACTATGAAATATAAACTGGGAAATGCACTACAGAGCACTTTACGTCTAAAACACACGCGAAGCCAGATGTTGTCTAAGAATGGCGCACAGTGAAGAGCAAGTGTTTTTCCTTCTTCTTCTCGAAAAGCATAATAAGGTAGCATACAAAATGGTCTGTCGTACTGTATCTCTCGACGCTGCGTTGCCAAGACGGGTGACGGCAAACTCATCGAAACGGTGGTATCAATAAGTAAATTTATCTTTAGCATAAAGACATCCCTATCAAATAAGCGCCATCACAATTTTCAGAATACATATACAAATATTGAACTAACAATATTTTATAATGAATTCCTAAACGGTAGGTTTTTTTTCCTGGAGCAAGGGAGCAAGACTGGCCTTCTTACAAAAATATAAATAATGACCGACTCCTACATATTTCCTCTTCTACTTGAATACCCCCGGCCCGAGCTCCACCTGACCATCGCGTCGTTGGCAGTAAGCGGTTTTCGGCCGGCAGCGCTGAATATGCATAGACGGCCCAACAAAGGCAAAGGCGAAGGCGCAGGCGCAAACGCCGAGCCGTGCGGGGATCGGAACACGCGGCGGTCGCACACAGAAGTAGAAAGTTGGCGCGGCTACGACGTCACAGGCCGCGTCCGCCGCCTCCCATTCTCCCGCGGTGCTGCGGCGGCGCCTAGCGCCCTATCGTGAGAACAAGATCGCCCCATATTCGCCTCCGCGCCGGCGCAGAGATACTGTAAACAGCGGCGCGGCGAGCGCGGCGCGGCGCGTGGAGGCAGCGACCGCGAATCATAAATAAGGGCGCGGGCGCACACAATCAGAAAACACCGTTGCGCTGAACCACGCCCCCCCCCCCCGCCTCTTCCCTTCTGTATCCGTTGACTCCGTGAGAAACCACCGCACAGGAGGCGATGGCAATGACATTTCTTGTTGAAAATTACTGTTAAGTTCACGACAATCCATTCTCAGTAAGAGTACATGGTAAATTAGAACTGTTTCGTTATCTTGGTAACTACACTTCGATTTTTCTATAGTGTCCGATGATATTAGGTCATTGTTACACCTCCTACCTGATAAAATGAATATTTTTACTATTTCGTAATGAACAAATATCACAGATGCACATGTGGCATTTGTCTCTTACCGAGAGCCAACTTATTATGAGTTGATGTTTCGGGGGTCACTTCTAACTCAGATTTCGATAGAAGTTTGTAATATTCATCTTAAGATATTCCTTAATAACCGCGTGTTATAATGGTCTTTTCATGACAATCTTCAATCATTACCGTTGTTTTCCACACTTACCAACGCTGCACTCATAGGTTCACGAAGAGGAGTATAGTACACGAACTTACCTGCAAAAAAGCAAAACAAAATTCATTTAGTACTGTGCTAAAGCAAAAAGTATAATTTAGAGTACATCATTACAACTTAAATAGAAATCAAATCTTGAAACCAAGTAAAGAGATTTCAAAGTATCATTTCCAGTTCCTTTGACAGTTTTGTCTCCCCAATGCATTGGGCAACAACGTGAGTTGGATCGGCAAAACAAGTTATGACAAGAGCCTTCCGAACGAACACTAGGATACTTTTAACAGGATGACCAGTCATTCTGGCGTTTAGGGACTGAGTTGAACCGTTCAATTTTACTTTTCAACCTTACCAAGAACCAGCTGATTATTGCAAAAAAGGAGTTATTTTTGTTACTTCACGAATTCAGATAATTATGAACCAGCACGGTACATTTTATTGTACCAATTAAAAACAAGAACCAAAAACGTGTCATCAGTTACGAAAAAAATATTGACAGGAAGAACGTTAACATAACGAAAATAGTAATACTATTAAATTCATTAATAATAATATAATTGCAATTTAGGGTCAACTGCAGGGATGACAAACTGGTGAGATGCAATTACATCACCTCATGGTGCACTGCAGAACCATTAGAGAGTTAATGAAGCCTGTAACTGCGACGATATTAACGATGATCTGATGAAGGATGTCAAAACATGAAGTATGAGACAGAAAAGATGAAGATAGTCTCAGAAATGATACGGATGTTGAAGCTATGGTGGATTGAAGGGTACGAAGAGCGGGAGAACAAGGAAAAATACCGCGACCTACTTAGACCGTCAGGTGAATTGATGGGAGAATCGAACGTCAGTCCCAGAGGTGAAATTCGATCAGTTTTCCCACTGAGGAGACATCCATTAACGAAATTAAAACAAGAAAAGTTACGTCAACAATAGAAAACTATAAAAGAATCTGGATAAAAAAATTCAGAAGAAATTACGAACCTACGCTACACCATCACTTGTGGAAAATACGGAATACAAGCAGTAGATGCTGTAGGTTTATGCTCATAGCTACTATTCGTGATTTCTTACGTTGCATTGCGTCGGGACACGTCTGTCTGTGCGTATGTTTTCATTCCATCCAACTAGAGGCTCTACCACGGAATCCTCCACCGGCGTTCCCACTTCGCCGCCCTTCTATTACGCGGGCGCGGCGCACCCCCCTCTGGGCCACATCAGGCACGGTCTGCGCCTCGCTTGCTTCGATTGGGGGAGGCGGGGACATAGGGCGGGGCTCGGGAGAATAGGGCAGCGCCGATCGAGGCCCTAGATACAGAGAGTAGCACTACCACAACGGCCACCGTCGTGTATTGCCTCCTCGTCCGATAGCCTCGACAGGTAGCAGTTAGGAGTTGCAAGAAGTAGAGACATAAATGTGAGTTTCAAGTACACGAATTAATAGCGGTTACTATCTTATGGGGTAGACTGCTGCTTCCCGTAACTCCTACAGTACTTTACAGTTCGTCCGCCTCGGACGACTGGATTTCGTAGCGCACTACTTGCAGCATCTAGAGCAGCGTTGCCCAACTTTTTCATCTCCTCGAGAGTAACGGATTGACTCCTAGCGTACGCCTAGTGCCAAATATCTATCACACTGCCACAACTCTAGAACGTATGAATATGGAAAACTTAATCACACAAATATTTTATTTAAAAAAAAAACATTTACACAATGTAAATCTTGCGTATTCAATACGAAGCCTGACACTTCACGTTCGTTGCAATTGGAGGAAAATCTGACGAGTAGTTAGAAAAACTCCATGCTGCGTTGTCTAGGTGAGATTTTTGAGATATTTATAACAGTCGTGAGTCATCCAGTCTCCACCTGCCAGCAGATGCTGCGTTACTCTATCTGATATGTTACTGGGTATTGATAACGGAAGAAAGCATCAACCCGTCTCTATTAAGAAACCTCCCATATACATATTATATCTCCTACAAAATTGCAATCTGCATTTCGAACATTCATTAACTTCCACATGAGATTTGAAAACATATCTTTAACTGATTACTCATTATCCTTAAAGCTACTTCAGCGAGAAAAAACTTGACCTATTTGAAAATCGTCCATTTATAAACAAATACTATTTTTAATTTCCAATTACTTTCCAACTGTCTTAACTATTGGTAATAATCTCTTACACATCTCAAATGGGGATTTCCGTTCGGTTTTTAATGAGGATTCCAAAACAAAGGAGCAGTAAGACATGACGCCAGAAGCAGGACGATATTTGGTGTTCCTAAACAAGCGCTGCTCTATCTTTCACGACGGTGGAGTCCACTGCGTTGCAGTCGTGTCAGCCAGGCTGCACCGAACACTGCTCGGCAGCGAAGGACTTCGAACAAAGCGGCTCGGATGGAGGAAATGAAACGAAATAAAAATGAAACGAAGGTCGCTCATTGTCCTTACGACACTTTTATCGGCGTTTGTTTGATGACTCAACGCATCGGAAAACAACTGATTCACCGCTAGCTACGTTTCATAGAGCGTTGACGACGATGCCGTAACAAAGGCTCTAAGGTGCACTGCACTTGACGCATCGGAGAAGAAGTTTTCAGACGTTTTATGGATGAAACAGTCCTAAGTTTCCTCACAGGTCATTGGATTTTCGGAATCACATCGTTCAAAATAAAGGAAGAAAGTGCATGACTATTTAGTTACATTCATGACCATTTTATTTCTGACGTCCCTAACTAACAAAATTCTAGTTAAAAGTACTATTGCACTTTTAGCAGTATTTTCATCTCAAAACCATTTCTTTAAAAACAATAAAATAAACGTCTTCGCAATCTAGTTTATGGACTTCATATTTGTCAAAAAGAATACTCGTACATAATTAAAATGTATATACATATGTTTAAAATGTAAAAGCATGAGAAATAATCACACTAATGCAGTTATGAAATTAAGCATTTTGATATTAGACATTATATTTGAAAAGTTGTTTATGACGTCTAAAACTGATCACAAAATGATTAATTTAGGCACTTTTATTATTCAGGAAAGCCAAGTACTTTTATGAGAGTGACAACAAACGTATACTTTTTATTTACTTTCATAATTAAACAGCACAGTATATAATAACGATTTCGAACCACACCACACACCACGCGCACGAGAGAGAGAGAGAGAGAGGAGAGAGAGAGCAGAGAGAGATAGAGAGAGATAGAGATAGAGATAGAGATAGAGAGATAGAGAGAGAGATAGAGATAGAGAGAGAGATAGAGAGAGAGATAGAGAGAGAGATAGAGATAGAGATAGAGATAGAGATAGAGAGAGATAAAGAAAAACTCTAAATGATCCTTCTTACTTTCTAGGGGTTCAAGACTTGGACCTATTTTATAAAATTCCTTTTCCGACAGAAGACTTGCCAGACCTGTCTTTCCTCGCCTGGATTGCGTAGTTGACGCGCCGCGTTGATAAGTCCCTGTCAACTGCAAAGCTGCGCAGGGAATGGATGCAATTGCCTAAGAAGTGTGAGCTGATCAGAGGCGAGTGTGAAACATCTTTGAATTGATTTATAGAGTTCCGCTGCCTTGAGTGAGAGATTTCGATACGTAGTCGATTGCGTATGAAGTCAACCACGGAATATTCGCGTTTCGTAGAATTCTGGAACGCTTTTGTGTTATGGTATAACAAATTTTTAAAAAAATAGTAATAAAAGTAACAATTTTACAAATTTACTTGTTTTGGGCAACAAAAAAATCAAAATAGGCATCGAAAGGTATTTTTGGTCGTTTCAGGCACCATTAGATGCTTTCAGAAGATTATTTTTGCCAGATTCGTAAACATCAGCAATAAATTCCCACAACCTCCTACAGAAACTAAATAGGCATTTCTCCTAACATCCGAGGTCTAGTGATTACAGCTCACTGATCCATTGACATGTGAAACACCAAAATAATGTAAATGTAAGCATTACATAGACCAGTCTATGAGCAATAGCTGTACTTCGTAAAAGTCACTGTGCCGGTACTGAAGAACTATGATAGATATTGTAGATGCCCGTAACCTCTTACTCGCAACCTAATTTGAATCAATCACAGCGTGTTTCACGGTCCGAAGTTCACCGTACAGTCGCAGGATCCGTCAACTCCACACAAAGGGACCACACACGTTTGGTGTATTTGGCATTTCTAACCACTCAGAAAACGCCATAGTACGTAACTCCAACCATGCGGATAAAACTGCGAACAGTAACCACCTATTTTTCATGACGATACGAATATAGCAGTAACTTTAACATCAGGGAGCGTAAACCTATTCAGGACACAGTTTTAACGAACTTGTTAAATTAAAATTAATAAGTTAAGCACGAGACGCGGTGAAGCTGGGCGGGTAAAACTGTTCGGGCTTCTGTTCTTTCGGGACACGCCAACCCGTACGGGACCAAGTGACACAAACCGGAAACTCGAAGACCCGAAACCCGAAGAGTGTAGTTGTGTGGCTGTACAGAAGTGCAAGAGAATTGTGTTTGCAGATTCACCATGGGCGACTATAATATGCGTGCTGACAATAATCAGGGTTGGAAACAGTGGAAGGAAGTGGAAGGTTTGGATACAGTTGATGTAGAAATCTAAGCGCGGTCGAAGGCTCGATAACAACAAAACATAGCTTTACAAGCAGTGTTTATATTCATTATTCCATCTAAATCCAAGACGTATTCCAATTCACAACGCATCCCCCCCCCTTACGCGATGTGACGTGCGTCGAACACCGAACGCGCGAACCGCGAGCGAGCGCGCGGGCGTCGGCCGGCCGCGACATCTGGACGCGCGCGCTCGAAAATTCCCGCCGCGGCTCGGCGACTGCTCCGCGCACGATACGAATTTAGCAGTATCTTTAACATCAAGGAGCATAAACCTATTTAGGACGCAGTTTTGACGAACTTGTTAAATTAAAATTAATAAGTTAAGCACGAGACGTGGTGAAGCTGGACGGGAAAAACTGTTCGGACTTCTGATCTTTCGGGACATGCTTAATTAAACACGAGACA